CCAGCCTGACCTCAGTAGCTCTTGCCTTTTTCCTTTTACATTTTTACATTTTCTTGCTGGCAGGCAAGAGCAGAGTTGAAATCTTCTGTGAAACAGCTGGAAAAGGTATGTGGGTCGGAGGGAGGCGGAGGAATTCAAAATTAATGTAATTTGTAAGTAATTGTATTAATGTAAGTAATTTGTGTGTATGTGTGTTTTACCCGCCTCTGCTGGCGCGCGGGCTGGCACTTTTTTATGTCAGAACATAGCAGCAGGGTTTTTGGACATAGCGGCAGGGCGGCTTTTGCCTCTAGCGCCGGAGTGGCAGGGTGGCTTTGGTTCCATCCAGCATTGATTCTTTGAAGCTTTCCATAGGTCCTCTCTGCTTTTAAAATCTTCCGTTGGTCTGAGGAAGTTTTCCCTCTATGGTGGACACAGCGCTGGGGTGTCCAAAAGCCTCTATGGTGGACACAGCTGCGGGGCGGGCAAAAGCCGCTTTCTTTCTTTTGCCTCACCAGCCATAAACCTCACTGCACATCATTGCATTTAAGCAACTATCAGACCCAGAGCACATGGCCTTCTTCCATACCTATCTAAAGAGCAAAAGCGGAGTTTTCATATAATTTTGATTAAACTTAAGGTGAACCTTATACCAGTGACTCATATTAAAGTATGTAAATTTGGAGTCTTTTACTTTGTTTTCTCTTCTGTCATTTATCCATTAGTGTGAAGCATGACAGAGAACTCTGAGAACCTTGCTATTAAACTATTACATGGTTAACTCTATTCTCCTTCCCCTTTCTCTTGAGATACAACCTATGGCATTTTATTCATTTCTAGTGCATCTGCAACAACAGGCATTCATGAATAGTTTGAAAAATGCTGTTGACGTGTCTTGCAGGAAGAGAGGTCTGAGACCATGAACACTGCTGCCTACGTTTCCTATAGCAACCAAGGAGCATTATTTTAAACAAAGTTAAATATGCAAATTGGCTTCCTGGGAAAAGGAACGAAGGCCGGTTTTAGCCATCTCTTTGCTGCCAAACAGTGGATTTTAACTTACAGTGGCTGCTCATCTTGTTATGATTGTTTTGTAAAAGATGCCTTCCCCATTAGTTTTTATGTGCACATATTCTCTGTGTGATTTTGTATGCATAAAATATACCTATGATTAAAAACTAAAATAATTTTATCTTATCATTTCATTTCATCTAAAGTGTAAGTTCATTACCAAACAAATTTTTAAGATGTAGCAAGCAAATGACCAAACATGGGTGTGATCAGAAGAGCCTAACAGCGATCTTTGTTAGTACAATCATATTTTTCTCAGAAGCTACTCATAGTTGGGTAAAGCAATATGTGCTTTGTATTAAATACAATTATCCTAAGAACCCACTATGAGTCCAAGAATGCTGAAATCTCATACCTATTTTTCTATCCCTTAATTATGTTAAAATTATTCACTCTATGGACTGTCCACTCCTATTTATGAAGAACAGAAACTGTCAGAAATCACTGTTCTTTATGCAGATAACATTGTGGCACATCACATTTTTTCCTGCCGATTTCCCTCATCCCACTTTCTGCCTCTCCTTGTCTAGGTTTTCAGTGTCAGCATTATCACCACTTTCCCCCACTGCTGGAAGATTTCCAAATGGGGGGTTAACTAGTCATGTCTTCTCTCTCATCTTGAAAGTCTGCAGATGCCTGGCTGCTGGCTGCCGGCTGCCTGCTTGTCATCTTTGAGCAAAAGGCATTTAATAAGCACACCAGACTCACTGGCTGTTATAGTTTGCTTTAAGAAAGAGCTGGCCTTGTCAGGCTGCAGTCTCATATCAGCTTGGCCTTTCAAGGTTATCTGACCTATTCTTGCCTCCATTTCAAAAATAAGATTCTTTCCTCGTCATTATTACATCCCGTCTTCGAGGCTTCAAAAGCAGTTTGAAGGTGATTCCTGAGCATTTTCTCTTCTGCTAACCTCACAGCACTGAGAACAAAGAGCAAAAATTGCTGTCAAGATCTTAGCTTCTGCAAGACAGTAATCTTCTCACTGACCTCTCCATATGAAAAGTGGCTGAAGTAAATGCCTTTTGTCTTACCCAAGTCCATTTACTTACTTCATACAATGTGCATTGTCTGACCATTTGCAGAAAAAGATCCCAGGGATTTCTATAAGAGGAAACTGCAAATGGGTCAAACTAACTCCCCCCCCTGGCCCCGAGAGGCCTGAAAACCAAAAGGAGGAGGGAGGGATGGTTGCAAGTGAGAGACACATTCCCCACGAATTCTCCAGAGACAGTATTTCAGAGACAGACAGAGCGCTTTACTGCAGTTTCCAATTTAAGCCAGTTGGCTTGGTTTTTGAACGCTGCTGGCACTAAGGAATCACAGAAGTTCAAAACTGCTTTCAAACTGGTAGAGTCTTTCCATGGAAGTCTTCTAAGGTCCTGCCCTCTAGGTGGAGCCATGTGGAGAACTTTCTATCCAAATTGCACTATTGCCTCCTAACTGCAGGCTTTCCTGTTAAGTCTTTGCCACAGCCAAAAAAAAAATGAATCAAAGGTATTTCAGCAAGTGCACTGACTCAGTCTTTACCAAAAGTCACATGTTTTCTATTTAAGTATTTTTTTTGCCTAAAGCATCTTACCCCAGTCTAGCCCTTCAAACATGTTGCACTGGAAGTATCCATCCTACATAAATTTAAGCAGAGTTATAATCCAAAACATGTAGAACACTCCAGGCAGGGAAATTTGATTTACATACTGTATCATGCCCTCTACAAGTGATCAACAAGTTAAGAAGAATAACTGCTTGTTTCTCCTTCTTCATATGCAAGAATCCTTGTTTATTTTAAGGATTTATCAGTTGAGCAAAAGGCCCAAAATCATCCTATTATATTGTCTTTAATAACAGGTTGATGTGCAAAAAATAGCAGGGAAAGGCAATTGCAACTTAGATTCAAATTATTAGAAGATATGGTTACTCCCATAGAACTGATTCTTAATTTTAAAAAATCAAATCTATTGTGCTAAAGAATTGCAGAAAAGACCACTGTGAATGATGGCAATGCTCATGAAAAACTAACAAAATACATTGAACCACTCACTTTTATAGCATATTAGGACTGCAAAAATCTAAATGACCTTGAGATGGCATCAAAGGATTAAAGTCATCTGTACTCTCTGTTGTCACCTAGTGTTCATTTGGTTTTCTGCAACCTAATATGGTAGGCCTACCATTTACTACTGATGACAACAGCCAAAGCAAACAAATAAACAACAAATGGTTTAGATACAGAAACTCAGTTTTGAACAGTATGCTTGACATAGACTTAAATAACAAAGTAGTCTGAAATGTTCCTGGATGAATGACATGTGTTGGAAGAATCACAGCTGATATTGCCACTTAAAATGAACCTGATCCTATAACTCCAATGAGGAGTATGGGGAACTACCAGGAAATGGTTTGCTGAAGGTAAAAAAGAAGAAAGAAGTAGTTTTGGTCACAGAAACCTTAGTCACTGCATAATCATTCCATAAAAATAACAAAAAGTTATCATTATATTTTTATTTAAATAAAATGAGGGTTAATGGAAAAATAATAGTTAAATATGGTTCAAATATATACAGTGTGGTATCAAAGTATATACACAACTGACTTTTGATTCAAGCTGAAAAGAATAGAGAGTCACCAATAAATTTGTTTCATGATAAATGAAGAAAAAGCAATGGAGAAATATACCAACTCATTTATTATTTTGAATAGTACAATTTCAGAATTCAAGTGATTCCAGGCAAAATGCCAAACATAGTTTGGCATATAACAATATTGAAAACAGTCCTTCTTGTAATATAGAAACCCCAAGATTGTTCTCATAAGACGATCAGCAAAGATAATAGCAATACATCTATTGCATTTAATGAGATTTGTAGCCACTCATCAATGAGCAAACAAACAAACAAGGTTCCTATAACATAATGATCTTGTTGACATCAGACAGACAAAATGACAATATTTTTTGATCAATAAAGTTGTTTAGCTCTGTTGGAACTGAAATTAGAATTAGAACTAAAGCCTTAAAATAGAAGTGGAAAGTAGGACTTTTACTTCATTTGTGCCTATTCCCTTTCTGTTTTCACAGACTGTATCCCATGGCAATACATATCTTTCTGCATTATTTAACTTGGAAAACTCAGAGTTTTGGCGGTGTTTCTGTTCTCATACTTATAAGCCCAATGTTGATGTCCAATGCAATACATGATGGAAGTAATGCATTTTGGGATCACTGTTACATGTATAACTTTTTAAAACCCATGTAATGTTTTAACTAATGTTTTTGTAAAATACTGTAACAATTATCATTTAAAAATTCCTGAGCTATGGTTTGAATACTTTCTAAAATGAATATATTATTTAAACCAGAAATCCAGAACCAGAAACTCACCATGTTTAAGAGCAATGTTTTATACTCATTATGAATTAATGAAGAGCTGCAATAATGATAGCTACAGACCAAGAACATCCAAGTCGCCATACCGGGCCTGTTTTTGGTGCAGTTATATCTTAATTGGGCATTATAGCCCCTGGTCTTTTTGTGATTCATGACTCGTTCAGAATGACCAGGATGTTGAGCTGATTAATAGAACTAAATCATCAGTTTTATACAATGCTTACTGATCTAGAAATTAACATTAATGTAGGATTTACTTCCACAGCTGTTCTATTTGGGATAAACAATAACAACAAAAATAGCGGTTATTGTTTGTTGTTATATACTTAGAGTTACAAGTGCTGTTGTTTCAAGCCATTTCATTGTCATGCCCCCTTCCCAGTTGCTGCTCAGATATCTGTATAAATTTATTTATTCTACACAATTATACATATCTGAAAGTTAGGAAATCGTTCAAGTGGACTGCCGCTTAGTCACTGAGTGAGCAAAGATTAATTTTTGCTCTGTATTATTGCTGTTTAGTCATTTTGAGACTAGGAATGTCTCATTGAGACATTTAATAGGGTAAAATATTTGTGGCATTAGTTATCAAATCACTAGTTATTCATAAAACAGTCACATATATATCACCACTACTTTCACATTTGTACATTCAGAAATAAGCTGAAGGAAAGCCAGAATATTTCCTTCAAAGAAAAAAAAATCCTTCTCTGTCTTTAGTAACCAAGCCGTTCTGTTATATATTATATTTGGGCTTATTACTTTTCTTTCCATCTTCCGACAAAATAATGACCGATCCTGATGATGAATAGATCAATGCCAGAAGCAAAACTGATTATAATTTTTCAAAAGATGTTGAGTCTTCAGAGCCTGGAAATGCTAGGAATGTTGATGGATGCTTTCTGAAGAGCCTTCGCTACTGTCCTTGAGAAGGGCTGCTTCAGTCGATTCTCCTGTTTCATCAGCAGCCATTTCTTCTTCAATAGTGAGGTGAACATCTGGCAAGGAAGATTCACTGTTTCCCTCCAAGGAACACAAGGTACAGGAAAAAGCCGGTACCATGCTGTCTTGCAGCATGCTGATCATTGGAAACTGGACAGACCTCAGTCCTGAGACTGTTGGCAAAGACTTAACAGCTTGTCCCCATTTCCTCTGCTCGTCTTTATAAAGCAGCAGCAAGTTAGATTTCTTTTCTTTCCTCTTGGAGTTCATATAGCCTAGCATGATTCCCATTAGAAAGATTCCATAGAAGGTCATGACAATCAGGATATAAAAGTATTCATTGCCACTACCTCCATTCTTCTTAGACGGGGAAGCAAGAGAGTCAGAGCTCTCCACAGCCGGCAGGGATTGTGTTGTGTTAGGATGATCCATTGCAAACATCAAAGCTTTTGGAAGAAAACTGGATCCTGGAGAAAGTAAGAGATTAAGGCATGAATATCATGCAAAGATGATAGGAAATTAATCCTAATGCATATGTGAACTTATAGTTAGTTTGTTAAGTTATTGTGTAGACCAATAGTTCATGGGAATTAGCTTCATAATAAACTGTCTCGTACATCACTGAAGCTTATTCTTCCTTTATGTAACCTAGTGTTATCTACTTGGACAACTTTCAAAATCACAAGTTTTTGCCACCAGCTGCCTGATCTTCTAAAACTAAAGACAGCAAAAATTGATCCCAGGAATGTTTACGGGCAAAACATGAGATCAAAGTGATAAAGAGCCCCACTATAACTTATCATAATGCAAATAATCAATTTTATAAAAATAGGTACAGTACAGCAACCGAGAAACCTACTATTAGATCAGTGAAATGTTGCTTAATTTTGTTCCCAAAACAATAATTTCACTAACCCCTGAATAAGCAGGTAATAGGCTTGAATTTGGTTCTCTTCAGTCCAAGTCCAAAACTTTAACTATACTACACTGATTCTCCTTTTTCTTCTTGCCATCCTACTCAGTCTTCCCCATGAAATGTATTAAGACAAGTTGATAACGTGGTTTACACAGTCTAAGTGCTAATAGAGATTATGATGATTTTTGGACCATTTAGTTCAAAACTACAGAATTTTGCAAACTAAAATTTCTGTTCCAGCAGTATTTCCAGTTATATACAAAGATCTCTTTACATCAGAGTTCCTTACAAAGAGAGTACGTGGCAATGAATGACTGAAAAAGCACGCCTAAAATTTTTAAAAAAGAGACAGAGTTGGTTCACAACCAAACCAGTTATTGTAGTGAAGCTTCTCATAGCTTAGTACTCAAGAACAATGGAAAAACATTATTATATTCAGTGCCTTAGACTAATTTAAAAAATGTTCAACAACTTACGTGAGCCTGCAAATAATGCCGTGCTTCCCAAAGCCCTAAGGAAACAGTACATCTGCCGGATTCCAGAAGCTCTGAAACTTTCTCTGACTGCTGCCAGAATTAATAGACTTGCTTGGATGAAATGTTATGCCACGTGACCTAGAGTATATAATAGTTTCATGCTAGAGTCAGCCCACAAACTGAAATTGCTTCCCAGTTTTAACCGGTTAAATTCCCGACACCTCTGTAAAATGAAGAACAGTGGGATGGCTGAGTCATTCTTTCCTAAACAAAGGCCAGTGCTAGAAAGTTTGGACACAAAACTTGGTCAAGCGCGGACACTTTAGGGATGAATTATGTGACTTGAGCTAAACACTGCTTTGTATGCACAGGGATAGGTTCTGCCAAAAGCAGTGAATTGTCATCAGCAGAAAACCCCTTTCATGGTGATGTGTAAGCACTGCTTCTTTCCTAGTACTATTGCAGAAGGCCTTCATAATTTACAGAAAAGTTTGACTGCATTTAAATTAAAGCTATCAAAACTTAAATTTAACCCATCCCTTGGCTTAGCCTTAGACAAAAAGGCCCACCGAGACTTGCAGAGTTAAAGTTAGGATGCTTCAGTTTACAATACTACCATGAAACATTTCATTTCATGGGATTTGCTGGTCTAGTAAAAGTGGTTAGAATGGGTATTATAAAACAGTATAAAATGGTTGGGAGTTGCAACCTGGATTACATTCCACTCAACTGTGGTTGTAAAAGGGAATTGCCTAAGGTGGTTATGAAAATAATAATCAGCATCTTGTATTAGACAAAAGACAGGTGATGTTGCCATGGGAACCAAATAATAAGCAGATCCTTTCAATACAACACACATTTAAATAGAAAAATGTATTGCAAGCATATGAAGCAGTGGACAGGGGAAAATAGATCACGGTTTGTAAAATTCTAAATTATTTGCAAAAAATGAACCAAAAACTTCAATTTTTCAGATGTTTAATACTATAAGTGATGATTATATTATCATCCTATAAAGGATAACCCACACTTCCATTTTGTTTCTGAAATGAAGAAAATAGGAAAGGGCTGTTATCTAGCTGTTTTAGTCCACTGATGAGATATAGTTTTTACGTTTTCTTACCCATTCAAGCTAAGCCAAGATTTCAGTCTTTCTCCTCTGCCTGGAAAAGCTGACTTATCAGGAAATAAGGGAAGGAAAGTCCAGAGTCTGCCTAAGAGGGAGCAGACTTTGCATTCACAAACAAAGCTGGAACCCTGACAAGGCTATGTTGCAGAAAGTCAGCTTGTTCAGGAAAAGTGAGGAAAATGTCACGTTTTGGCTTAGATATATAAAATATTAGAATGTAAGCTCCCAATGAATATTTCAACTTCTGATGATTACTTTTGATGTGCACAAAGCTGGTTTATTCATTAAACTCTCCCCCCAATTTTTATGTATACATGCAATTATTTAGTTCAATATTACTCTGAATATAGAATTGGATTACTTTAACACAGTTCTAAGCAGACTTGAGGCCAGTGATTAGGAGGGTAGCTGATACACCCTAATTAGTAAAAAGCCTTTAACAAGTATGCACAAATTTATTTATTTATTTACTTACTGAATAGCATTTCTATAATATACTATTGGCTTCATACAGGAGGTCAGTGGTTAAAACCATGTAAAATCCTTACAAGTATAAAATCTATTTCTCCAAAATGCAACCCTGGCATCAGAGCATGTTCTACATTCTTCAACAATTGATTATCCAACTGTGTGCCACATCAGCAATATTAAAGGGCAAGAGTTAAATGAAGAAATAATAGTTTTGAAACCTATCCACCCTCAAGAAGGATATAAAACTCAAGTCTTTGGTGGTTTTTTGTTGGTTTTTAAATAAAGCAACCAGGAAGACATGTTCTAAACTTTATCATCCTGGAATACCATTCAACTCAAAATGAATTGTTAAATGGAAGAATTTTTCTGTCAATCTTGCATTCCAGAGCAATTGCATTGCTTAAGGATTTCTATATCAGTTAAACTACCATATTTTTCAGAGTATAAGACGCACCTTTTTCTCTCAAAAGAGAGGCTGGAAATCTGGGTGTGTCTTATACACTGAATACAGCATTTTTGGCCTCCCAAAACACCATGCCCTTTGCAAAAATGGCTGTACATAGCCTTTAGGAGGCTTGTAGAGTGCCCTGGGGGCCGCGGAGGGCAAAGATGAGCGAAAAACAAACTGTTTCCCCTCCCATCCCCCAGGAGTACTCTACAAGCCTCCTAAAGGCTATGCATGCCCTTTTTTGACCAAAAAAAACAGGCCCATTTTCTCCAAAAAGGGGCATTTGTGGGAGGTCTCCAAAGTGCAAAAACTTTTTTTTAAATTTTGCCTCTTCAAAATCTTGATGTGTCTTATATTCTGGTGCAGTTGGAGTTTGGAGTTTATTCAATTTGTAGGCCACCCTATTCCCCGAAGGGACTCAGGGCGGCTGAACAAAAGCCAAGGGAGGGGAAATTACAAAAAGTAAGACAAAAACAATCAGACAATACGAAAAATTTAAAAGCACAACAGACACAGCAAATTCGAGTAGTGGGGGTGGAACTCAACCCCAGGCTTGCTGGGACATCCAGGTCTTCACGGCCATCCGGAAGGCCCGAAGGGTGGAGAGGATCTGAATCTCCACGGGGAGCTCGTTCCAAAGGGCCGGAGCAG